GAAATTATAAAATTTCATTTTTGAAATATTGATGTATAAAAACTGAACTAATTTTATACTTATGCAAATTATTGATGATTGGCATAAATCCTTAAGCAATTACCATGGACGTATGTGACGAAATGCTGACGAAACATGACGAAGGCTAACATTGAAACAGCAAACACTTGACACGATACACGGATATTGGCTTATTTACATGGTCATGGAGTGCATTTGCATTATCTTAAAACTCTTTAGAGAAGACGCACACCTTTGACTAAATTATCGCACAAATGTTGTGCGATTGTCGATTGTTTCGCGGTCTATTAAACTGTTGCAGAACCAAAAATCGACTAGTGTGCCTGCAATTAAACTCATAGGAAACTAAGCGCGACTAACCAGTTGTGCGATAGTTCAGTCAAAGGTCTGCCCTCTTACTACTCTTCAATTAATCTTCTTACTGCCACACTCAATGAAGTTAGTTAATCTTACGTCCTATTATTAATTAAATAATTGAAGTTCTTAGACTAAACCGCTGAATCTCGACTTGGTACAGATGTAGAACATAGTCTGGAAGAACGCATATGCTACTTACTATTTTTTTTAAAAGCGGAACGGGCGAGAACTAGTTGTTACAAATTGTTCTACTCATTTACTAATTGTATTCTAGTTGTATTAGTGAATGTATAATGTGTTTTTCCGATGTTATCGTGACGGAAATTCCCGCAGTAAATGACATGTTACGTATCTAATCGCTGTTTTTCTAGATTTTTAGACACATTAGTGAGAAAATACGTTCCACGCAAAATTAACATAATTGATTATCCATACTTAAGTATGAAAATAGATATCTATAATATTTTCAAGCATTGAATGAAAACAATTGAATTAAGTTTCTATAAAAACAAAAGAGAATAAATTTGATTTACATGGAATTTAAAATGTTATTTACAGAATAAAAAAACATGTTTTTATGTACCCATTATCTGTTAATTTAATTAGTCAAAACTTAATTTATTATAAAGGTCGTATATACATTTTAATATTTAACAACGCCGTGTTAGACCTCACAGAAGTCATGACGGTAGTCTAAAAAAATATTTAAAGCAAATATAGCCTTCATCATTCTTTATCTTCGCTTCGCAGTTTTTTCCGTGTGCAAATTAAAGTGGGCTTGTCACAATGAATCATGGAATGTTTATTTTTACTGGATGATACAGATTGATTCGTTAGCTTAGAATTATAAAAAATAAGTTAATCCTGCACACATAAGCTACATTTCATTAAAAGTCCGGCCAAAATTGGTCTAGCCTTTTCGGAGATAACCTTAAATAAACGAGGACTCGCGAAAAGACAGACGGAAAAGACGCAAACATAGTAATGTGAAATATAAATGCACACTACATTTTTCCAGCGATTTCGTTAGCACGCAACAAAAAAAGCTTAACAAGTAGCATTTGTGCCCTTACAGACTATGTTCTACAACTGTGTACAATTCCATCAAGATCTATTAATCCGTTTTGGAGAGATAACAAACATGATGATTACGTACAGAATCCAATAAACTGGAATAACCAAAACTCACTTTTAAAACATCTTTCATTCCTCATATTCTCTTTGTAATAATAGAGACGAAGAATATATGTTTCGGTATTGAAGCAGACGGTTGTAGATTCCAATGCGTATACAATTTAAGCATCCATACCTTTTAGAATTGCTAATTGTTGTTCCCTTATCCAAACATAGTCAACTGTAGGTTGCGCTTGTCTGTTGTAATGCAACAAAACATATTTAATGACACTTTCTATGTTAAGAAATAGCAAAGTCCAATAGCGTCTTCGTGCTTCACTGTCCAGTTTGTGTGTCAATGTCATCAAAATGATATTGTAATTTGTACGTCTAATTTGTATCATGGTGTGAATTTTACACAATGTGTTGTTAGGAGCTCGCTTTTTACCATATCATTATTATTAAAAAAATATACAGACGAATTCTTCTTCTTTTGGGAAGTCGGTCCAAAAGTGTTTACTGAGTTAAATATTTTGTCTTCATCGGTTGTTTTAGATAACTATTTTATTTAATTAGATTGAAAATTAGAATAAGAGCTGTAGAATTATTCACTGATTTAAAATTCAATTAAGCAAATTAAGGTAAGCATGACGGTATGTACGTTTTATTTTAGTTTTTTTTTAATTTATTTAAAGGTAACTTACAGCTTACAAAAAAATTTAACGTAGATTTGATAATAATAGTTTTAACTCACGACCTTATATTTTGTAATGTCATCTAAACCATTAGCCTGTTGGTGCAAAGTTTTCTACACTAGCGTGAGGTAAAGGTCTTTGACCTTAAGCGTAGTTTACATTGAAGACCTGTCAATTATATCATTCTTAATGCAAATTTTCAAAGGTTACTTTTTAGTAATTTTGTTATACAATTCAAATTTCAAATTTGTTTTACGGTTTTTACTTCCTGTAATAATCAAGCTACCATTTGTAGGCTGAGGAATTTCCAATATCTCGAGGTTTTAGATGGCAGAATTTAGAAGGCGTTTAATAGCGTATTAGGTAATGAAGATATTTTATTTTATGTTTGGAGTTTAAGGGTTTTTGTAAGAAAAAAAACGTCACAATTGTACAATTCGTTACAAGTAAATTTTTTCTTTACTTCCATCAAACTAATGTAAGAAGGTTGTGTAATTAACACATTAAAATAAATTATACAAATTCACATACGAAACTTGCAAAACTGAATTTACTTAAGTCGTTGCTAAATTACTTAAAATATTACAACAATCTCTATTGTGACCGGTTTGTGATTAGTTAGTAAAAAATGGTGTTATATTTTTCTAATGATTTAATATTCACCAAAAATGAAATATTTTATACATATACGTAAATCTTACTAATATTATAAATGCGAAAGTTTAGATGCATGGATGTTTGTTAGAGTTTGTAGCAATTGTTACGGATCTCGATGGTATTTAGCATTTTTTTTTATACCACGCGGATATATTGCGGGGCGGAAGCTAGTTGATTAATCTAAAATCTTTTACCGGAGTCTTAAGAATGATTTTATTCATATTTGAACGCAAAAAAAATAATGAAATTTATTCAAAATTTCAATTTCGATTGGAATAATATTATTCGTATCGAAAATTAATATACTTTTAAGTATAAGTATTTAAATACGTACATAATAAATTTATCCCACACGTGGACGTAGCCACGTGCGATTGCTAATGTTTTTGTAATTCCAAGGATTATGCGCGAAATCTTGTTAGCAAAATTTACAAGGCGTTAAATGGAACGAATTTAGCCGCAGGAAAAATAATTTAAATTATTAATTTATTTCAATTAGTAGTTGCTATTAATTATACTTTTTAAAATTGACCTTTTTAAATACAGGAAAAAATTAAGTGACAGAAATTGCAAATTTCTAACAAATCAGTTTTTAACTGACTCCCCAAAAGACACTCAAAAGGATTTGTCTGTATGATTTTTATATTTTTATTTTTGTTACGACATAACTACCCCTAGTGGACCGATTTTGGTAATTCTTTTTTTAACCGAAAGGTAGTGCTTGCAGGTGGGTCCCGTTTTTTGATTAATTTTTGGAGTCAAAGACTACGGCGTAGTTAAATAGTTTAGCTTAAAATCGTGTGACGAAAATTGAGTCCTATTTTGCTTACGTACTAAACTATAAGACTATAAGGGAGGTTTAAGTTATTCAAGGAATTATTTCGTTACTTTTTAGTGTATTTTCTTTTTGAGAATATTTTGTTTTTAGTGTATTTTTTTGTAAGTCGGTTTTGTTTTTTATTACTTTTTTTTGGTTTCCTTAAGCATTATCGTTTACATAAACTGGTTATTAAAATATTTGTACCTAACGTCTATTTTTGCGTAGTTTAGGTTTTAGTCAAATAACTAAAGTCTATCAGTGTTGCATACGTGCAACAAAATATTCACATGTGATCGATAATCATCTATACTATAAATACTATTATAATAAAGCGTAAACACACACTTTTTTGTTTCCTAAGATGTCAGCAATTATAGCATGTTTTTGAATAATTCTTTGTTTAATAAAAAGCCCTACACTTACGTAACGCTTTAGGCTATACATTTTCACGCCATTAAACTTAGGGGGTAAATATTTAGGATAAAATCCTAATGTGGGAAAGAGACCATAAGTTGCTACCAACATCAAGGAAGCAAAATTGCCATAGTAAGGTAATTGGGGTTTTGACATTTGCAATTGAGTTTGACAAATGTAAACAATGAAATAAAGTTTTTATTATAACATGCGGATGAAGCCGCACGGGAGCAGCTAGTGGATAATAAGGATGGATATTTGTTAGAAGGTATTGCCAGAACACTTAAAGATAAGAACACACAGAATTACTGATTTTTTTTTGAAAAATATATCTCTAATATTATATAAGGTCTTTATCTGTAATCACGATTTCACGATACCAAGTGATGTTACTTTAATGATCATTTTATTAGGTTTATTATTTTTATGTTAGTAATTTGCATGAATTACAAAAGAAAGAAGTAGCCCGTTATTAGTTGCATAAAATAAATATGACGGTTTATCAAAAAATTCGCATATTGCAACAACGTCGTACGATTCTTGTTTGGTTGTGCAACACTTGCCATTCAAGACCGTGTCACCTTGAAATAAGAGCTATAATTATATGAGCGGTTGTGCAATGGGAATTAATTAAATCTTTACAAACAATCTGCGTATGGTTTTTGGTGATAATTAGAACAATGTTATCTGTACACAAAACATCGATTATTTAGTATCAAAAAGGTCAAAATTATGTTTAATTTTTATGAGGGTGTTATAAAAAAAATAGCATAATAATTAAAATTTTAATTAATTTTAATTAAATAGTTTCTTATAAATTGTTTTTTTTTTTCATTAAAACATTTTTTTTAATGAACTTGTATAGTAATAACATATAATATTTAAGAATTAAAAAATATAAAAAAATAATCAAACAAACTCACCGTTAAAAGCTATCACACAATAATTCACACACAAAACTATTCGAAATAAACACGACACAAAGTTCGAAAAAAAAATCACATGACAATCGGTTCTTCCAACCGGTAACTATGACATCCCGACAGAGAATGGCGCACGATCTTGGTTTCGAGACTGAGAGAACAATCTGAAACTTCGCCTCGCCGTCTAATCGGCATGACTCAAAGAGACCCTAATTAATACCTTGTTTCCATCCATCATCGAAATTAACTAAACATATACAATTATCATTTAAAGTTACTATAAAATAATGGTAGCTTATTAATATTATAAATGCGAAAGTTTATGAGAGTTTGAAGCCTAAACTGCTGAACAGATCTCGACGATATTTCACATAGACGTAGAGGATAGTCTGGATGGAAGAACACATACATCCTTACAAATAAACGCGGTATAAAGATAAACTTATGAATAAATATAAATCATTTGTAGAAAAATTGTACAAATTTTGCTTATACTCGGTTTATTCCTAAATTTAGCTTTACACCGCGTTATTTGTCTGTTAGGCTGCTTACTTCTATTTTTTTTAATTCCACGCAGTAGAGTCTCGGTAAAAGCAAGTGTCGCATAATTGTGATACAAGTATTTTAACTAAAATTAATTTGGAATTATGCTTAAGTATTACATTAATTTTTGGTTTATGATATTAAACAAGGATACCATACCATATCTTTCCCATATTTTACCTTAACCTACTCGTAAAATATCTTATATGTTTGAAGTTTGTAGTTTACAGTTACTAATTACGTGTTACGTAATTTAGTTGCGTGTACACATCGGATGAGTGAAATTTATTGATTTTTTTTTCGGCGTCTCTTGCGAGGGTTGTGCAAGACGGATTCATCATTGTCACGACCATTACCATACTGGGAATGATTGCAAGCTTGTTAAACAACTTTGAACGAGTACGACAATGGGATGAACATGGACAGAAAAATATTCTGTATCGAATAACAATATGGTACTTACGTAACTACAAATATGAACCACTAGCTTTCGTCCGAGACTCCGTCCGCGTGGAATAAATAAAAACAAAAGTGAATAGCCTATGTGGTCTTTCAGACCATCCTTTACATCTATACCAAATTTCATCGAAATCCGTTCAGCCGTTGAAGTTACAAACTCTAACAAACATCCATCCATCCATCCATCTAAATTTTCGCATTTATAATATTAGTATGATTAAAAAAGTAAAAACTTTACTTAAATGTTCTTTTTTCAAACGCTTATAACGCAACGTCATCGCGTTACTTATAAAAAAATGCAGTAGGAACAGAAGAAATTTGTGTTTTTGACCTATGAATTTCAATATAATGAGAAGCTTGGGTAATTCAATCTAATTTACTTAGTGTAAAATATCGAATATTATAAAATTTCGTTGAGGAAAAATGTCACAAAATTATTTATTTATAGGTCAATGTCTTATACATTTCTCTTTCATCATCAGATGAATATCTCGTGAATGTTTGGCGGAATTTTGCAAACTATGCGATTGAAAAGTGACGCAAGGAATAATCAATCTTTATAATGTTTTATACGTTGTGCAAAATGTGAAAATATCAAATTATCTCTTTGGTATTTGTACGACACGGTTAGAGATATCTGTTATCTTTTTATTATTGCAAAATATTCTACCAAAATTAACGTAAAAATATTCGTGTCTACAGTGGTGAATTTTATTCACGCAGGGCTCTCGCTACATTATCCAACTAAAATTACAGTTTTATGTTATAACACGTGTTTAAATAAACAGTGTCTAATTATATTTTAGGGCAATACAGAATATAGTCATCTCAATTTGTTCAAGGAAAATAACAGGGATATAATGCTTTTGTGACCGTATTTTGTGAAAGGCATTGGGGAAGGCTTATGTCCAGTGGTGGGTAGAAAAGTTTGTAATGATAAATGCTTTCGTATAAGTAAACAGTGGAAATAAAAAGAGTTACAGATAGTTGAGTGTACCACATTTTATCCATACTCCATACTAATATAATAAATCGTAAACACACACTACTTCGTGGCGCAGCACGTCAGCAATCACATATTTTTCAATAACTCTTTCTAAAAATCCCTACACTTACGACACGCTTTAGGCTTTTTTTTTCACGCTATTAAAATTAGGGGGGTAAATAATTTGGGAAAAACCATCATGTGGGAAAGGGATCATAAAAACTACCAACATTAAGGAAGCAAAGTTATCGTAACGGTAATTTTAACATTTGCAATTGACAATATGACAAATGTAAAAAATATACCTTATGAAGTGTTTATATTTTAATGCAGATGAAGCCGCACGGGAATAGCTAGTTTAGTTATATTGCTTGGTCGGTCAAGTTACATTATACCAACCCAAGGTTAAGGTACATAATGGTTTCGATAATTTCAAAACACTATAATTGTCCGTGGTCGGTATGTAACAATGTACTCATCCGTCGCTTACAATGTTTAAAAATTGAACATATAGGAAACGATTGGTCGTCATGACTTAGCAATATTCACATGCATTCTTTTCTTCAAAATTGTGTTCCTTGTTTATTACAGTAGAACATCGATAACTCAAACCTTGGTAACTTAAAAACCTCTATAACTTCAAAAAATAATATGTTCCCTTCCAATCAGAATCCAAAATCTCTACAACATACTCTTGATAACTTAAAACATCTATAACTTAAAATGTTTTATGTTTCCCTTGGACTTTAACTTATCGAGATTCTACTGTACTTAGATATTTTTTTCAACGATGAACCAATAGCCGTAAGCAGAGGATACGAGTTTTCATTTGATGCTGTTCCTATTAAATTATTCTTCTACGCAAATATAGTCTAGTAATGGTAACTATTTATTTTAAAATCATCGAAATATTTTGATATTTAAAAAATAACTTTTTATATTCAACTTTTTTTAAACATCTACATATTATAGGTTATAAGGATTAACGACCTTAAAATAACGTAATAAACAAACGTGTAATAACATAACATGTAGGTACTGACATTTACAATGTTATTCAAAACTGTTACTTCCCATATTGTTTTTTATATCATTTTACCGATGACTAACGATCGCTTGAGACTTCGTCAGCGCAGAAAAAAAGGAGCCTATAATATTTCCTTTTACATCAGCTACCTACCCGTCAAACTCCTGTAATGTTGGTCGACACATTTCGGGAATAACACGAAACAAATGTCTTGTGGTCTGACAGACGAAAAAAGTTAAAAATTATTTTTTCGTTATTAACATAACAATTTTTTTAATATTGTAATATTAAAAAAATATGCAGTGTATGTAGATGTATCTACATACACTCCAATTGTATTATATGTATAAGATATGTTGTTACAAATTCTGAAGCTTCTACACATTTAGTTTTAATTAACAGTCAAACTGTACAGTAAAAACGTGTTTACTCTACAGTTTGACTGTTAATATGTATTTAGGGAAATTTTACCTTTCAAACTGCTTTTGAGTTTTGCTTACACACTTACGATTTAATTCTACAGTTAAAACTGAAAGTGCGTAGCCGGCTTTAAAAATTAACAGTGTTTTTTATACATTTTTGCAAACAAACCTGCATAAGTTAAAGACCGGTTAGGGCTACACAACAGGTTTGTGTTTCGTAACTGTTATGGGGCCAATATCGTATAACATTTGGTGACTTTGACCCAGAATACATTAAGCGTGACCCAGTTAATGACCCTGACAGTGCGTATTTATAATAAATATTAGCAGACGCGTCTATCAGCAACTGGTTTAAATGAGTAGCCTTTGCACTATGTTCATACTGATCGTAATAATCAAACAACAAGGAGGTTAACTTATTCTGCGAATATTTAAGAATGATCGTCGTTTGTCATTTTGGAGATACGTAGCAACAAACATCCATATATTCAAACGATTGTTACATCATCATCATCGTCTTTCTCCTTATTGTACTCCCGTAATTTCGGCGCTACAGGTTTTTGTCCTCCACATACCTCTATATACGTCATCTCAGTTATCACTCGCGTTGTGATCATGTCACCTTTCACGCACTCCACCCATCACTTTCTACGTCAACCTCTACTCGTAACTAACGTTCTTCTTATTACATGACTATTATCCTTCGTTTCTTAATGGTTAATTATGTAATTTTAGGTACATTAAATACATGGGATTACGAAATTTTTAGTTATTTTACGAAAATTGTTAGATAAAGTGAAGTCATATTATTAATGTAATATATTTATGTGGGAAAAAGTGTTACACGAGAAACAATTTGGTTAGTGTCAAATTGCTACGTGTCGTAGTGCCATGAATTCGTCTAGGATTATAACAAATTGTAAACTGAATTTGTAATAGATCTTATCGAAATCAAAACTATGAAAGCAACTAGAGTCCTTTGCGAACTGGGTCACACCTGCACTGAATACACGAGTGTCAATGTATCTCAATCTAAAACTAATGGATAAATATATACGCAGCTCGCTTAATCGCTTGTCCTTACACTGGTTAAAGATTAAACTATAGTTTAACCACAATAAATTAGTATTTGTTATAGATGGAATTCTACTAACCCTTGTACAGTCCATATTAAGAGCAGTGTCGACAGTTCATGTTGCCATAATGGTTTCTATCCAACGATAGGAGATGGCACTCAAAGAAGAAAAAGAACCCTAGATATTAACGTTTGTCTTTTATAAGTATACGACAGATGTACAAGATAGATGATCAAAGATGTTTGACAAAGTTTGATGCAACGGATCAAGGGGTGTGTAGTTTCGCACGGATCGGACCAAAGTGATTATTCAAAAGAATTTTAATACCTACAGACAAAACCGTCATATAAAGTCGTATATTATCAAACTAGCTGTTCCCGTGCGGCTTCATCCGCATGAAATTATGAAAATTTACATTTGTCAAATTATCAATATCAAATGTCAAATTTCAAACAAACCTTGGCAATCTCGTTTCCTTGATTTTGGCAGCAACTTATGGTCTCTTTCCCACACTAGGAATTTTATCCAAAATATTTACCCCCTAAGTGTAATGGCGTGAAAATATATAGCCTAAAGCGTGACGTAAGTGTAGAGCTTTTTATA